AGATATCACCTTACTCCAGTGAGAATGGCTTTTATCAAAAAGTCATAAAACAACAGATGCTGGCATGGATGCAGAGAGTAAGGAACACTTACACACTATTGGTGGGACTGCAAACTAGTACAGCCTCTAGGGAAAGTGATATGGAAATTCTTCAAAGAACTAAAAGTAGACCTGCACTTGATCCAACAATCTCACTACTGTTTACCCAAAGCAAAAATAAACTAATTTACTTTTAAAACATAAAACTGTATATAAATTTTACCTCAATAAAACTAACAAATAAAAATGTTAGAAAAAGAAGTTAATTTTCTGAAAAGTAGTGAATGAATACAAGCAAAGAGAACAAAGAATGTGAAATTAATATTGCCTTTAAACAAGCTGAAGTTTGAAATGATAATAATCACCATTAAAATTTAGTTCTAGAAAGATTCCCAGGGGATTTGAGTAAAATAAAAGTATCTATTTAGCAATTTTATTTAAATCATTGAAAATCTTATAAGTTCACTGCCAGTGATTTCTGATTAACAATACATTACAAATGAAGTATATAGTATTTCTTGTATTATACATACAATTAAATATTTTCAATACTCAGTTATTTATAACCTTACTAAGTATCAAAAACAGAAATTGCACAAGATATTCTCTATTTACACTGTAATAAAATGATAAATTAACAATAAAAGTTATAAATTATAAATTGTTTTATAAATTATAAATTGTATTATAATTATAAATTGTTATAAATTAACAGTATAAATTATACCATTTGGAAATTGAACAATGCTATGCTAAGTAAATCTTTCATCAAAGAGCAATTAAAATCTGTAATTGGAGACTATTTGGAGAAAAACTATAATGGGAATAAAATATACTCTATCATTCTTTTAGGGATACGGCCAAAGCCAAAATCAGTAAAAAAAAAAAAAATCAAAGCTCTGAATGCTTTAAGACAGAAAACATAAATTTTCTATATGTTAAGAATAAGAGAAATCATAAAATTAACTCCAGCGAGGGCCAAAATTGATTAAGTATAAAAATAGAAATGAATGAATTCAAAAACAAAGCAATACAATAAATCTAAGATTCATTCAACTGAAAAGACAAACAAAAATAAAACCTCTGGCAACTCAATAGTAGTACAATATTTTATAAAAATCACAGTATGATAAAAAATTTATTTTTATGTTTGTTCATTTCTTTTCCTGATTTTTATGTATATATGCATACATATATGCATATATGTTCTCATGTATGATTTTAAAACTTAAGAATTAACAAAATATTAGTAAAACTTCTGTTTTTAAAAAAGTAAAAGTTTAAAATATTACTGGGAGACACAAAAGAATATTTGAATAAAGAAGAGAAATACCACTTTCCTGGATGAAAAGACAATAATATAAAAATGTCTATTCTCCTGAAAATTTAATCTAATGCCTTTAGTTTAATACCAATGAAAACCACCAAATGATGTTCTTACAGCTTAAAGAAATAAACATCATAAGATTCATCAAGAAGATTAAATATGCCATATTAATAACAAAGAGGACATTAGGCAGTTCTTTTCTTTCTGATAATTAAAAAGTATTATAAAATAACAATAATTAAAACATTTACTGTCACAGAATTAGACAAATCAAAAGCATGGGAGACGAAGTCCAGCCATAGACCCAAGTGTGCGTATTACCTTTGTATATAATAAAGGTGGCATACAAAATCACTTAGAGAAGGATGGATTATTTGACAAGTGAATTGGGAAACCTGGGATAATTACTGAAATAGACATATTCTGACCTTGCCATTGTACAAATTCGGAGCTTAATAAAATAATGTCACACACATCAAATTATGGGAACTTTAATATAAAAGATACATTTTGAAGCATTCACAAATAAAAATCATAAAAAGCACAATATATACCACAGGCAAAAAAACTGATTTAAAAACATAAACTTTATCTATTGTGATATTTATTAACTTACATGATTCCCATTCTCTTAGAATGGGGCTAATCAATGAGTGAGCAATCATCACCGTTACTAACCACATTCTTCTGACAAAAACTCAATGACTTCTATCACTTACCTATTCTTTCTAACATGGTTCTTGGTTTTCACCAAAAGCCCTATCAACAAAGCCAAATCAGAGTTATTTCCTCTGTGATAAGATCAGACCAATCAGCACAGAGATCGATCTCTCTCTGATTACAGTTGTAGGTGTTTTCACTGTCACTCCAGTGAGAGTGTTCATCTTGGTCATAGACTGACTGCCTCCTTCAGCTTCGCATATGGCATCATATGACAAATGATTAAGAACTTTTTAAAGGATAAATCATCATTTCCTCTACAAGTAACACACAACATAAAATATAGCTTTAAACAGGGTGTGTCATTTTAGAAAGCATCAATAAATTAATAAAAGTGTAAGAACTAGACTTTACCACTATCATTTCTCTGCCAAATATCTAATAGGGCCAAATTATAAGAACACAGCGAATACTGCAATAATTATAAGAGTCAAAAACAAAAGACTGCCAAATATAATATTCATCCAAAATTTCTAAATATTCTTTCATAATTATGCCTTTAGGGTAGAGACTGCGTCTGGGTCTTCCCTGAGTCCTTCTTAGGAAGCTGTGACTTACGTGGTTCAGGGCAGAATGGTCTTATGGTTGAAAGAACCTAGCCCAGTCTAGCCATGGGGATTACCAAACTCATGCCCTGTACTTGTATTTCTTCAACACCATGAAAAAGACTTGTAAATACAAGCATTTTAAAAAAGAAAAATTCTATCTTTTTTTAAAAAAAACACATTGAAATAGTCCCATAATGTCTACATCAGCAACCCTGACTACCCATAAAATCTCCGCCACCTACATCCAAAGCTATTTTGATACCTCCCCCTCTGCCTTCTCCCTCTCTTTTGTTAAACCATTTTCTCATGACTCCTGCTCACTGCATCTCATCCCTCTCTCTAGTCTGATCTACTTTTGTCAAAAGAATTTACCTGGTAGAACAAGGTCCTTGGAGAATAGCTCAGCAAAGCCAGAACACTACATGATAGATAAAGGCTAGAAACATTCATTCAGTAAGGATTTTGTCTCATTACATGTGTAGGTGCTCACTAAATATGCATAGGTAAATGAATGCTTATAAAGTAATAGGGGAGAATTAGCTACCATGTAGAAGAAAAAATTCTGGTCAGAATCAGAAAACCCAGTCCCTAGATAGAGCTCTGCTCTTAGCCACTCTGAATTACCGTTATAAGATTGTTTTTACAGGACTGAAATATATAAAAATATGCTTTGTAAACTATTCTTCTTCTGAAGTAATAAAAAGTATTAGTGGTAGACATTAGTAGTTTTCTCTTGATATCAAGTGAACCCATGTGATAGTTTTAAAATTTCCAATATTTTAATCATAACTCAACCAAGCAAATGATCTGTCTTCTCAGGGGATTAATGTATTCATTTGCACAAATCATTAGTCATAGAGTATAGTAAAACCTCATTAACTCAGACCCCTCTAATTTAGAAATCATCCTAGGAAAAGCAATAAGGTATAATACTAAGCTCTATGGCTAGAGATAAAAAACAACAAGAAACTTTAGACAGCTCTTCAGCTGACTAGATTTGTATGATTTTAGAAAGTTCCCTTAACCTCTGGTTTTTGTTCATTTGTGTTTAAAGTGAGCTAAATTATACAATCAATCCATCTAATCATCATATAACTCAGGCCAGATAGATATTTTTCCACTTTGTTTTTTCCATAAGCAATGTTTCTGGGAGTGGAATTATTTCAGCCTGCATGTTTTTAATTTGAAGTTCATGAATAGCCCTGAGGAGTCACATGAGTTCCCTAAATTGAGGCAATTATGATTGCGTACATTTTTCTGGACAGGGTTTCATAGCTTTCATATGATTCCCAAAAAGCTCTGTGAATTTCCTTTTAAAAAGGTTAAGAACCACTCGTTTCATAGACTGAGCTTTTCAATGGGTGGGGAAAAAAAAAAAAACAAAAAAAGACTTACGTCAGTAATGAACTAATTCCAGATGATTCTTATCAACTTGTAAAAACAAGCTCACAAAATGTTGCTTAATAATTCTGTATTGATTCTGTAACATTTTATATCCCACATTGATCAATATAGAAGCTACATTTATACTTTTACTAATGGCTGGCTCTCATTCCCAGATGTGGCATGGACTGAGTCTGCCTTGAACAGTGCCTAGCCATAGTAGGCTCTCAATGAAGCAAGGAATAAAAATGTCTTCCAGTTTATCCCTAGGGGAAGAAGGCAGCTAGGGAATGATCAGCTTCTCATCTGGATTTGGATTGAGACCCCAGAACCCTATGAGATGATGGAAGAGTTGGCAGGCAAAGACAGATCATCTTATCTACAACCCAAACTTTGTAATTTCAGCTGAGAGAAAAGAGGTCCAAAGTAAGGAAGGGCTTTACCAAAAGTGGCCGGGCCAAGACTAGACCCCTTAGCCAATGGTACAGGGCACTTTCCGTGCTGTTACATTGTCCAGCTGGAAGACACAGAACCTAATTATGAAATTCAAATGAGCACATCAGCCAAATTCCAGTTCCTTTCTTTTAACTAAATCCCGTAACTAGCAACCTCCTCCTTTATTAAAAGTAGACATACCATAAATAGGCTGTGATTTTTGCCTGATTTATTAACATAAGCATATGCAATAGCACCACATCTTACATGTAATATAAGTTGAACTCAAATTCTATACTGTTGTCATATCCATAAAAATATCCAGGCCTATAAATAAAATTGTGTCTATAATGCAAACTTAGTTTTTCAATAATGTTTATTTATCTGTCTCAGCTGACAATTACAGGGGAAAAAAGTGCTTCCTTCATTAGTATCCTTTACAACAGATAGTATATAAAACAGAATGCATGTGATTTCATTCCTATACACTTCTGGTAATTGTCTTTTAAAAACCTAATAACACTTGCATTTCTTTTATCTTTTTACAGAAGCATCCTTTTAAACCCAGCCTATTTCCGAAATCATCTTCGTCAAGCAACAGTATTTAGATGTCTGGAGAGATATTCAGAAGCTGCCCGGTAAATTTGTTATAACTTTTGTGAAGATTTATCTCAAGTTAAATTAATTTTATTCTCAGATTCTGGTAATAGCATAATAGGACTTTCTATTTCTCTCATGGAATATAAGTCTATCCAAATTATTGTCTATAAATGTCAAACCAGCAATTATTGACTATCTTTTTCTTTAATTAAGACTATTCCATGTTCATAGTGCTTAGCTTTGAAAATTCAAACTTTCCAGCCATGAGGTCACTGATAATGACAGGAAAATTTCCACAGAATAATAGAAATGCACTTAACTTTTTGCTTTTGAAGACATTCCTGGTCCGGGTTGTAATGACATAATTCTGTGACTATTTCTTTCTCGAGTTCTGGAGATGAAATCCAATCACATGAAAAGGATCCAGAAACCCATTTCTAGAGAGGATGGCATGAATTAGATAACACCACAGGTTGTTAGAGGTATTCCAAAGTATTTTTTCCTGGACGCCAATGTTTTTTTTAAAAACCTAGTGAAGCAGTCCCTAATATTCTCATCCCCAGAACCTAGATTTATGGCAAAGAATTGCAAGAGTTGTGCAATAGCTTCAATGCTACACTCAGAATTCCTTCTCACCTATGACAAGGAATTTTTTTCCTGGATTAAGCTCATAATATCAGATTTCTCTTCCCTTTGATGAATTCTTTCAAAGAATTTTCCCCATTTCCCAATAGAGAGGTGCCCGCATTTCTTACTTATCCACTTTACCATCCCAGGAATTTAGCAAAAATGTGTAATTCTAGATTTCCTCCAAGCACAACTCCTAGGGATAAATCTGCAGTAATAGAGATAAGGTGCATAAGTTGCGGGTGGCTGCTGTTTCTAGGACATTTGTAAATAACACTTCTTTGAAATTAGAATCAAGAGTTTGAATGGATAATAAAATGGTTTTACAAAAGTGACACTACGGAGTTGACATGAATTCTGTTTCTGTAAGATGTTTTCAGGAGTTGCTTGAATTCAATCAAATGGATATGGAAGTCAAAGTTAATCTTGGCCACTCTCACTTCACAGTCAAGCAACAAACAATATGCCACAGTGTCATTTATCCATGTGTTAATGCCCAATTTGAACTATTTAAAAATAGGTCTTTATCACTATCTTTTTTGCATAACATTTTCCCTGTACTATTTCTCCAATGTGTTTTATCTAATATATTCATTTATGACTTCTTCCTACTTTTTATTTTCTCCACTGAAGTGTCCCTGTGGCTTACTTTCTGCCTACACACTTTTTCTAATTATGTAAATGAGAGAGAATTTAAGAGACGATAATGTGTCCATCTGTCCCACACTTAATGCAAGGAGTTTTAATAAAGGCCACTAGCTATAAATGAAGTGAATAGGTTCAGCATAAACAGATAAAAGCTATCTGGAAAACAGCCTTACAAGGTAGTTTATTAATGTGTCTTGAATCCAATCAAAAGATTAATAGAAGGTGAGCTACAACTTCAGAATTAGATTACAACTAGTAAAAAACTGCTAGTGGTGTGCTTGTATAGACTCTAAAGAGAAGATTAATAAATATTCAGGAATTTGGAGGGAGTCAGTTGTTAAATGGTAGGAGAAATTAGCAATACTGGGAGAATTTACACTACAGAAATTGGCAAGTGCTACAAATCCAAGATTTTTTGCTTTTGGAAAAGGCTATAACTTAATTGTATCAAGACTATGAGAGCTAAAGTGGTGACATAAATTCTTTATGGGTCCTAAAACAAACAAACAATAAGAACTTGAACATTAGGAAGTTGTCAGTATTGGCCATGTAAAATTGGCACTGAATATTCGATTGCTATTGTTATGTATATCCCTGCAGTGCTATAGGTATGTCTGTTTAACATCATTTGATGTCTGACCTGACAATGATTCTTGAGAAAATTCCTGATATTTGTTGGTTATGCTGGTGTGGACTTTCCAACAGAGAAGCAGATATAATTACTGTCAGGTACAAATGTTTTTCATCTTGGTTTTCTTGGCAGTTGTAGCCCTCAATATGCAGTATAAGGTCATCCTTCCCCACCAGATAAAGAATGCTATGCACTGTGAACATAAATATCTTAGTGTACTTTAGCTATTATATTTCTAATGCAAATCAATAAATATGAATGTATATATACACAGCATTCATGTTACCAATAAATCTCTTGGAAACTTGGGTAGTTTCGTTCAGGCCTCTTATAAGTATTTTATATTAAAACTCATTGATAAAGCCAACCCATCAAGGTTATTTTCTCTAGGATGCCAAGCAGTCATGTTTCTGGGATTGAATGGCACCTATCAAATACAAATGAATTTCATTATTATGTGACTTAGGAGATCCTAAAATCATGATTCCCAGTGAAGTGGATCAGCCCCTATCTTTTCCAAGATAGAGTATTTGTAACTATTGCCTGAAAATTGAAATATCTGAGGTTTTCTGAACCTAAGCATCTCCACCCAGGAAGGGATTGCTATTAGACAGTACGGAAAGATTCTCCAGATGGTTTCTAAAAGCCTAGGCTCTCAATCAGAGAGGCTGGAGGGAAGGCTATTCCCTGTGTTTACACGAAAGGTATCAGGTTTTCCACAATGGGCAAATCCTTTTATTTTATGTCTCAATATCCTTTAAGTAACATTCTACCAGAAGAAAGAACAAAAAAAATAAATGGTAGAAATAAAGATATTTTATTATGTTTTGGGCTCTTCGGGGATGCTATCACTCATGAGGGGACAGCTAGGCACTGGTTAAATTGATAAAATCACATTTTGAGACCACAAAAGTAAATTAAGATTGTTGTAACGCCCCACCCCCAAGAACTAGCCACCCTCTGAGGTCTTAACCACAAATAGCAAGTAGTCTAGCTCTTTAACATCTCTCTGTTTCTATGCATATTGATACAGAATACCTTTGCTCAGATCTGCCCCTCCTGCCCCAACACTCAACTTATGAACACAGCACACACATACACCATCTGACACTACTTTCCTGAGAAAAAAATAATAATATGGCTTTTTCACAACGGGTTTGCTGCCAGAATACAGGTGCCATGAAAACCACCCATAAAAGCCGAAATGGGGAAGGAAAAGACTCACATCAACATCATAGGCATCGGACACGTAGATTCGGGCAAGTCCACCACTACTGGCCATCTGATCTACAAATGTGGTGGGATCGACAAAAGAACCATCAAAAAAATTGAGAAGTAGGCTGCCAAAATGGGAAAGGGCTCCTTCAGGTACGCCTGGGTCTTGGATAAACTGAAAGCTGAGCGTGAGCCTGGTATCACCATTGATATCTCCCTGTGGAAATTTGAGACCAGCAAATATTATGTGACAGGACACAGAGACTTTATCAAAAACACAATTACGATTACAGGCACATCTCAGGCTGACTGTGCTGTCCTGATTGTTGCTGCTGGTGTTGGTGAATTTGAAGCTAGTATTGCAAAGAATGGGCAGACCCGTGAGCATACCCTTCTGGCTTACACACTAGGTGTGAAACAACTGATTGTTGGTGTTAACAAAAGGGACTCACTGAGCTGCCCTACAGCCAGAAGAGATATGAAGAAATTGTTAAAGAAGTCAGCACTGACATTAAGAAAATTAGCTACAACCCTGGCACAGTAGCATGTGTGCCAATTGCTGGTTGGAATGGTGACAACATGTTGGAGCCAAGTGCCAATATTCCTTGGTTCAAGGGATGGAAAGTCACCCAGAAAGATGACAACGCCAGTAGAACCACACTGCCTGAGGCTCTGGATTGCATCTTGCCACCAACTCATCCAACTGACAAGCCCCCGTGTCTGCCTCTCCAGGATGCCTACAAAATTGGTGGTATTGCTACTGTTCCTGTGGGCCAAGTGGAGACTGGTGTTCTCAAACCCAGCATGGTGGTGGCCTTTGCTCCACTCAGTGTTACAACTGAAGTAAAGTCTGTTAAAATGCACCATGAAGCTTTGAGTGAAGCTCCTATCCAGGGGACAACGTGGGCTTCAACATCAAGAATGTGTCTGTCAAAGATGTTCGTCATGGCAACGTTGCTGGTGACAGCAAAAATGACCCACCAATGGAAGCAGCTGGCTTCACTGCTCAGGTGATTATCCTGAACCATCCAGGCCAAATTAGTGCTGGCTACACTCCTATACTGGATTGTCACACAGCTCATATTGCCTGCAAGTTTGCTGAGATGAAGGAAAAGATTGATCACCACTCTAGAAAGAAGCTGGAGGATGGCCCTAAATTCTTGAAATCTGGTGATGCTGCCATCATTCATATTGCTCCTGGCAAGCCCATGTGTGTTGAGAGCTTCTCTGACTATCCTTCTCTGGGTCATTTTGCTGTTCATGATATGAGATGGATGGTGGCTGTGGGCATCATCAGATGGACAGTTGCTGTGGGTATCATCAAAGCAGTGGACAATAAGGCTGCTAGAGCTGGCAAGGTAACCAAATCTGCCCAGAAAGCTCAGAAGGCTAAATGAATATTATTGCTAATACCTGCCACCCCACTCTTTTTTTCCACTCTCTCTTGTCCTCATTCTCTCTCTCTCTCCCTCTTCTTTCCTCCACCTTTCTTCTCTCCTCTTTCTCTTTCCTCTCCTGGTACTGCTTCTCTAAATGGCCAGCCAATCTTTCCTTTGAATACGTTTGCGGTCTCATGTTCAGACGAGTATTTTCTGCTGCTTGGTTCTTAGTGGAAGCAGACAACTCTTCTTTGTATCTTTCCTGGGCCCAAGTGAGGTTCGCAGTCTCTTCGCGGGGGCAGACGGGTTTATACTTTACCCTCTCCCCTCCTTCAGTGCAATGGGGGCAAGAGAAATTTTCCCTACCCGGCGC